CCCCCCCCCCCTCACCTTCCCTCGCCGAGGCTTAGCAGCTCCTTTTGCATTCCCACCAGCAGTAGCAGCAGCAGCACTACGCGAAGTAGTTGCAGCCTACCACCACCCAACAGGCTCTACATCGACTGGCAATACTACCAACACACTACCTCTTCGGGAACTTGAGGGGAACTGCCTGCTGACGTCATTGGAGAGTCACCATCAGCTGTCACCGTATCCACCGACATAGCCGTTGGGTCCACATCTCGAAGAACCACATAGTCCTCTGTAGGAGGACACCATCCCACACCCTTTATCACGATAGTCATTTCTTACTGTATGAGAACTCGGGCTCGTCCAAAGGCTTCACGAATTTCACTCCACTGTATGCGACGACTTCCACAACTTCGAACGCCTGAAAACAAATGACGTCCCATCGATATGAAGCCTTCCAAGATCCAACATGAGCAAAACAATCACCATCTTTATGAGAAAAAAATTCCAAGAAAAAACAGCTATAGACTCAACTCGTATGGAAAACAGTCAAAACTCCGCTAAAATTTTCACTCACCACCAACAAGCAGTGTCCAATTATCAACCCTACCTGATCGAAAGCGTTTATGAAACTGAGGACACTGTCGAAGCCCAACATGTTAAGACTCAGAGGGATGTTCCAACGACTATAGAAGGTCTCCTCCACTGCCCGTAACGGTATCCCTTCACACTTCTTCCCACCCTCGGGGGCATTAGCAGTAGCAGCAGCAGGGCTCGTCTGAGCTTATACAATCCTCATACAAGCATAGCATTGCCTACTAACCTTCATCGCATCAACCAGGGCCACGTGGAGGGCCTGAGCTATCATCGATACTGTTCGGTTCTCTGGTGGGGAGAAGTCGGATGGTAACGTGATAGTCGATGCACCTGGAGGGTGAGGGATAATTTTCCAAGTACAGTATAATTGTTATTATTATATATATGCTAATTTACAGTATTGTACGTTTATCACACGAACTGGTTCCCTTACTAATAGTGTTTGAAAAAAAGTAACTTTTTTTCAAGATTTTACATGACTTCAGTGAATTCACTGCTCTTTTTCACCGTAAGCCTACCATGGGGGGGTACATGCACATGGTCAACTACATGTGTTGTTGAAACATGACGATTCTTGAAAATTATCGCTAATTTTTGTATACTTCTCTTCAAAATGGCGTGGACCCTCACATCGTCGGAAACTCACAAGTTCAGTTGAGGAAACCAAACATATATTTCCACACTGATTCTCAATGACGTCTACAAGTCTAATTTCAATATATTTTTTGTTCCTCGAATGCCCCTCAGAACCATGCTACTACCATTTTCATATCCTCCCAACCGTCGTCGTTTCGCCGCATACTCCCTCCTAAGTCCTCAACCATTCACGAGGAACTCCCATGAGAATTTACTACCAATGCTCCATTCGCCGCTCGTAAGCAATAGCCTCTTCCTGGCCCGTCCGCTCCCCCTGCTCGAACACCTCTTCGGGTAGGGTCTCCTCAACGTTAACAGGCTTGGTCGGAGGCGGCAGTGAACCCGCGGGGTTCCTAAGTGGATAAGAAACATCACAACTATTGCCACAAGAACTCTCCTCACCGTCCAACTGGTTCGTTCGGTGGAGGGATGGTCCCTCCGGAGGAAGGTGGGGCCGGCAGCTGCGACCTAAGGCAACCACTACGAGGACCCCACCAGCCCCACACCCACCTTTGTTCTCTGCTGGGGGCAACTGATGTAGACGATGATGATGAAGTAGTTGTGATACGACCATCATACCAACTGATGTGATCTATTCCAAATTCGAATGATTCCCAAGCTACCCTTTCCCTCCTCGTGAGCCCTTCCCTTTCCCTTGATATTGATGCTTCTGTGCTTGTTGCTGTTGTTGAGCAGTAGATGGCTGCTGCTCCTGCTGGAAGGGGGACGTGTTGGAATACCCCGGCCCCCCAGCAGTTGTTGCCGACGAGGAAGAGAGGCCCCCACCAGCACTCGA